GCATACCTCACAATCACTCTTGCCTCCCAGTCACTCAGCACTCGGCACTCGGGTGTGTACAGACTCCGGACGAGCTCCTTCAGCCCAAGCGCTATAATCTGCACGGACAACTCACGTGCAATAATAATAAAGTATACTACAGGCGGGCAGCCCCGATCCACACTCATCCTCACAAATCAGGCCCTCGGCCTCACTCAGTCATAAAGTATGCTGCAGGCGGGCAGCCCCGATACACACTCATCCTCACCAATAAGGCCTTCGGCCTCACTCAGTCATAAGTAACTTAAGCCTCTCGGGCATTTCAATAAAACAGGGCATTCGGCCCAAAATATTTATATGCATCAAAATAGAGTCATAAAACTGAGTTATGCGGTAAACAAGTATAAACATGACTGAGTATAGATTTTCACTCGAAAACAATGAGAGGATGGTAAGAAACAGCCCCTAAGGGTCCAAACAGCTTTGGCGCAAGGCCCAAACATGGCATTCAGCCCAATTTACAGAAATTCTTTCTAAAACATATAAGTATCAAATGATTTCAACAAAGTATGCAACTTTACAGTTGCTACGGGACGAACCAAGTCACAAATCCCCAATAGTGCATGCCCATACGCCCGTCACCTAGCATGTGCATCACTTCAAAATAGTAGAATGATACGAAAATCTGGAGTTTCATACCCTCAGGACTAGATTTACAATCGTTACTTATCTTAAACTGGTCAAATCTCTATCCCGCAATGATCTTGCCTATGGACTCGGCCTCCAAATGCTCCGAATCTATTCATAATCAGTACAATACCATCAATACGCGCTAATGGAATGAATTCCACAAGAAAAACTACAAAATTAGACCAAAACCCGAAATTGGTTCAAAAATTGCTTGTGGGGCCCACGTCTCGGAACCCGACAAAAGTTACAAAATCCAAAAGCCCATTCAATCACGAGTCTACCCATACCAATTTTACCAAAATCCGACCTCAACTCGACCCTCAAATCTACAAATCTTATTTCCAAATTTCTAAGTTCCAATCTCCGATTTACACCTCAAAATCATGTAATTTAGTCAGATTATTCGATGATAATTCAATATTATGGAGTAGAAATTATTACAAGGGACTTACCTCAAGTTTTCCTTGAAAATATATCTAAAACATCGCCTCTCCTCAAGCTCCAATTTGTCAAAAATGGCAAATGGGACGAAATCCCTATTTTTTATAATTCTGCTCAGACATCCTCGGTTCTGCCTCGATCTTGGCCTTCGATCGTGACCCTCGACCCTGAGCTTGATCATGGCTTTGATCGTGGCCCTTGACCCTGGGCTCGATCTGGGCTCGATTTCTGAGAGATTTCTGGGCTCGAATCTGGCAGAAGAAATTTCTAACAGAAGAAAATTGCAGTAGCTGTTCTAGTTCAATTTTTGATCCGTTAACCATCTGAAACTCACCCGAGGCCCTAGGGACCTCAACCAAATATACCAACAAGTCCTAAAACATCATACGAACTTAGTCGAATCCTCAAATCACCTCAAACAATGCTAAAACCATGAATTACACCCCCAATTCAAGCCTAATGAACTTTGAAATTTTTAATTTCTACAAACAACTCCGGAACCTATCAAATCACGTCCGATTGCCCTCAAATTTTGCACACAAGTCCTAAATGACATAACAGAGGTATTTCAATTTTCAGAATCGGATTCCGACCCCTATATCAAAAATTCAACCACTCCCCCCGGTCAAACTTCTCAAAAATAAAATTTTCGGCATTTCAAGCCTAATTCCTCTACGGACTTCCAAATAATATTTCGGACACGCTTCTAAGCCCAAAATTACCATACGGAGCTATTGAAATCATCAAAATTTAAATCCGAGATCGTTTACACATAGGTCCATATCCGGTCCACTTTTCTAACTCAATATTTTTTCAATTATGACACTAAATGTCTCATTTCACTCTGAGTTCCTTCTGGACTCGAACCAACTAACCCGATATAACATAATATAGCTGAATAACACAAAAAAAAGTAGGAATGGGGAAAACGGTATTATAACTCTCGAAACGATCGGTCGGGTTGTTACATTTCGGATACGGCGACTGTTAGATCTTAGAGTGCTATCAGTTGGAGACTATCACGGTAATTGCATGGCGTCTGCTGACCTGACTCTCTTTCCTTCAGTTATTGTAATGTTCTATACTTCCAGATAGTGTTTTATCATTCAGACTTTGTATTCATATTAGATGCCCATGTACTCAGTGACACCGGATTTTGGGAGTGTTTATATCTATATTTGTGAGATTTCTTCCGCTGAATTTAATATTATATTTTTAAATTTAAAAGATATGGTATTTTATTGAGATTGTTGGCTTGTCTAGTATTGAGATAGGCGCCATCACAACAGGTGAGATTTTGGGTCGTGACAAGTTTTGACTTTTCTTCTTACCAAAAATACCCTTAACAAAATATAGTATATACTAAAATAACCGTTAAACTTAATACTTAGGATATTAATATATAAATATTTCTTATTATTTTTAGGATAGCTTTCTAATATACAGTGACTTTAGGGGTGAATACTTTTATATTTGTTGAATTATTTTTAATATATTTAACTTATATTAAAAGAGTTAAGTACTTTTAAATTTTATTTTCATATTTTACTTAAATAAAATGAAAAGATTTAATTATTGCCTGTAATAATAATTTTTTGAGATTATTTATTTACTTATAATATTAACTATTAAGTAAATCTATTTATGACATTATTTGTAATTTGATACTTAAAAGCACTTTCTGAAAAGTTTGGCCAAATACGAATTATTGCCCAATAGTTATTTTCAGAGTGATTAGTCAAACACAAACTGCTTCTCTCCAAAAGTACTTTTTTCAAAAGCACTTTTCAAAATAAGCTGATTTCTCTAACTTGACAAACAGGCTATAAGTGCCCCAATTCAATCTGAAACTCACTCGAAAATCAAACCAACCACACCGACAAGTCACATAACCACACTTGAACATAGAGGAGGCAATAAATAGGGGAACGGGGCTAAAATACTCAAAAAGGTCGGCCGGGTCGTTACAATAATATTTGAGATTTTACTCGATATACATTTGTTAGTGTATGATTTTTTTTTTTTGTCATTTTTTTTAAACAAATAAACGATCTAAATCAATTAGTACACGTCCCAAATCAGATAAGAAATTCCCAAATTATAAAACAAAACAAAAAAAAAAAAAAAAAAAAAAAAAAAAAAAAAAAAAAAAAAAAAAAAAAAAAAAAAAAAAAGAATAAGGAAATTGGGAAAAAGAAAATTGAACAATGGGGGGAAAGAAGAAAAAGAAAAGAAGGCCACCCGCTCTGTGTTCTGTTCGATAGTCTGCATCCCACGTACCAAATCTGCAACTAATCTCTCTTTCTTTATTCATTCAGGTGCTTCTTTCCTAAAATCACAAAAATATTGCAATTTCGATCTATACCATTTCAAGATTTGCATTCCCACTATCAAAAAAGCCGCTGTAAGTTGTCTGAATCATTTGCCAAATCTCTTCATTTGGCAAAAATATTTTGAGCGTATATCTTTGTAAATGCTCGTTTGTCATTAGATTTATTCAAGATTTTGTAAAGGTTTTTTTTTGGCCTTTGGTACACAATAAATGCTTGTTTATATGGTTCTTGATAGCATGGTTGATGCAGTATTGAAAAAGTTTTGAGTTTTTAGTAATAAAGTGAATCAAGATTCTTAAGGGGTTCTATTGGTTTTGGTAAAATGGTAGTTGGGCTAATTGTTTCTTGGATATTTACTGATGCATTATTTTCGGCTTTGAGGGATCAATGGTACTGAGAAAAATGTGTTTTGGAGGTGATTACATTGGTTCATGTAGAGTTTTATATGTTAAAGTTTGAGTTTTTATTGAAGTGAATCAAGATTCAAAGGGGTTCTACTTGTTTTGGTAAAATTGTAGTTGGGCTAATGGTTTCTTGGATATTTGCTGTTCGATTATCTTGGCCTGTGAGGGACGAATGGTACTGACTAGAATGTGTTTTCAAGGTGATTACATTGGTTATTGGAAGTAGTGGAACCAATGTCTGGAACAATAAGTACTTTCGGTAGAAGTCTCTCTCATAAACAAAGGGCATTGACAGTTAGCAGCCCTAGATTGTTCGATAAGTCCGTTAGTAGCCCTAGATTTAGTAGGAAAAGCGAGGTTTCAAGACTTTTTTGTGTACTTATAGCATTAGGATCTGTTGTTTCCTTTTTCCTGGCAATTGGAGGAGGGTATTTATATGTTCTGCCCAATCTTACAAAAGCATCTCATGAGGAGGATGTCGGCCTTAGTGTTAATGGTTCGGATAGTCTTTGTGACATATTTGATGGAAAATGGGTAGTCGATAACAGCTATCCCTTGTACAATGCCTCAGAATGCCCCTTTGTAGAGAAAGGATTCAACTGTTTGACTAACGGTAGAACCAATGGTGATTATCTGAAGTGGAGGTGGAAGCCGAGGAACTGTGAAATACCGAGGTTTGATGTGCATAATCTGTTGGAAATTCTCCGAAACAAAAGAATTGTTTTTGTTGGAGATTCAATGAGTAGGACTCAATGGGAATCCTTGATATGCCTGCTAATGACCGGGGTGCAAGATAAGGAAAGTGTATATGAAGTAAATGGGAATAAGATCACTAAAGTAATTCGCTTTTTGGGAGTGAGGTTTAGTTCCTTCAATTTCACAGTTGAGTTTTATCGATCAGTATTCCTTGTCCAACACAACTGGTCTTCCAAATATGGAATAAAGAGAGTTAGATCAACCCTTAAGTTGGACAAGCTTGACGATATCAGCAACGAGTGGATTAATGCAGATGTCCTCATATTCAATTCTGGACAGTGGTGGGTACCCGGGAAGCTTTTTGGAGTGTAAGTGCGCTTTCTTCTTTTACTGGCACAAGCTCCTTTCCTTTTACGAGTATATCTCATATAATTGCAAACTATCATTGAACTAAAATATCCTTAATATATGGATGGGCCTTTCATATATGGATTCCCCCTTTTGATTTTCTTTATTCTTTTCCCCCTGTTCTTTCTCTTTCTTCTCACATGTCTCGATTTTGTTTTGTCACTCCTACATTTGTAAATATATGCTTTTTTTCTTCCTAAAAAGTAGAAAGCCTCCTTCTTTGTATGTGCACACAGGGGCGTCGGCTGGATTTTCTGCAAGTGGTGTCAATATGTAAAGAAGTAAACAAAGAACATATCATACTAACGACATCATATGAGATGAACATTATGATGCTGAACTTGTTTTGACGGTTTGGTGTCCTTTAAGAAAAAAATCCATTCATTTCCTAAAAAATAGGAGGTAGAAGTGTAAAACCAATAAATATTTCCTTTCCGATTCATCCTTGACTTATTCAAATATTGTTTTTAATCCGATGTGCAACAAAACACTATGGAAAGATAGTGGTTCAATTTCATATTGTTTAAGGAGTTGATATGAAAAAAAAAAATCAAATTGCTAACATAGAAAACAAAAATCCAGGAACTTTCATGAGCTGGATATTGTGATTGTGATTCCTTCTTAGTTTTCATCCAGAAGCAGCTGTTTTTTTTGTGTGTCGGTTGTTCTCACAATGTTCCTAAATCGTTCTTTTACAGGGGATGCTATTTCCAACTAAATAATACACTCAAGCTTGGAATGTCAATTCCCACAGCATTCAGAACTGCCCTTGACACTTGGGCATCCTGGATAGATACCAAAATTAACCCTAACAGGACACGTGTTTTTTTCAGAACATTTGAACCATCTCACTGGAGGTACTTGTTGTTGATAGCTATGCATTCTATACAGCTGGATGCTTTAAGCTCTGCATTAATAATATCAGCGAATGTTTTTTCTTTCACCGTCAAACAAACGTCGTTTATTAGTCATAGAGCTTGCTGCTTCTCCTGTTGTCCTGTTTCTCAGAGTGCATTACTTTTATTGGTTTTAGATCGAACATAGTATGTTTTTGCAACTAATGAAATACATATTGGTTTTGCATCAGCAATCTAACTCTGCGGTTGTGCAATGTAACAAATCAACCTCTTTCAGAGACTAAGGGTCAGAAGAGTAACTCATTTTCAGACGCAGCACTAGAGGTGGCGCGCGGAATGAAAGTTCCAGTTACTGTGCTACACATAACTCCCATGTCTGCGTTCAGGAAAGATGCACATGTCGGTATTTGGAGTGATAATCCATCTCTCTCTGATTGCAGTCACTGGTGTCTGCCTGGAGTTCCTGATCTTTGGAATGAAATGGTCTTTTCATACCTGCATGCTAGCTATCACCATACGCCTTTGCATCAACAAAGAGAGTAAGTTTTGATACTTGCATATAACATTTATAAAACCTGTGAGCATGTGAGGCATCTGTCCTTGATGTGTCGAACTCATGTCCTTAACCAATTGGTTGTAGCACCGTAATACTGCAAATGGTGTTATATCCTTTGTACATAGTCCAAATCACTAGTTTCTCGGCACATGCATTGCGCATGTATGCCGAGTCATGAATTAAAATTATTTGTAAAATAATATCAATAAAAAGCGTTATCCACATTTTACATGAACATTTTTCAAGATAAATGCTTGGTTCTATCTTCCTTGACTCCTCGCTTATATACCTTTCTATAAGTTTTACTTCTAAGATGGTCTCGGTAGTTTCCTTGCTGAAACCAAAAGTCTCCATTTTGACATGAGTATTTGGGTACATCATTGGTTCTCTTTATTTTTGCTTTGACGGTAGGGTGTCACAAAGGGTTGAAATGGGGCATCACTCTGCTCATGCAGGTTTCTTCGTCTCTAGATCATAGTGTAATATCTTAGGACCAGTGACAACTCGAGTTCTTTTGGGCCATTAAATTGCCTACCTATAAACATGACGGAGCTGTATAATATTGGATGAGATCAACTCAGTTTCAACCCACAATTTTGTTCGCGTCTTCAGCCCTGGCTGAATTTGGCAAGTTTTGTTGGATTGAGACTTGAGAGCAAACTGACCTTTCTAGATAAATAGCCTGGTGCTTAAGTTCTGCTTTTGCCACAATCTTCAACCATTCAACCTAGTGTTGTTTACAGTAAAGGTCAAAATTGCATTCACTTAGGTGGAAATCTGGCTTATAAAATTATCATTAGCTAAAGCGTGCCTGTAAAGCAAATGCTTTATATATCCAGATGGGCCAAAGTCACTTTCCTATTAAGTGGGGTCATTTTGTTTGATGCAGGTTCAACAACATGGACTGATGTATGATAAACAGGAACTCATACCAGCTTATGTTTTTCTATGAAGGTCAATCATTTTGCAATTCCAGCAACAACAAAAAATAAACAATTTTGAACAGAAATGTATAGTTACATGGTGAGAAGAAACTCTTGTACCGGGAAATTGATTTCTTTTTCATCTTTTTTTTTGTTCGCTAAATTCATTTTGTAAGAGAGAAGGAGAAAAAATGTATATCATTCAGAATGTTTGTCTTGTACCGTATAATATTTGAAAATTAATATGCAGTTTTCAAAAATTTACTACATTGATGAGAAGTGTTGCATCTGAAGTTTGACATCTCTTGAGCTTTATTGTGTTCATTTTATTCTTGTTAAACCAGAAAAGAGGAAATTTAACACTTCGCTTTCAATCTTGTCCGGTTTGATGTGGTTCGATGTTATTTTTGAATTGTAAGGTCTGAATTGTTTGAATTTTGTAAACTCTTAAAACGATAGAATTTTTTTTTTTTATTTCATTTTATTGTCCAAACTTAATCCTTAAGAGATAGAAGATATACAAATTCAACATTTATAGCTTGGGAATGCTTTTCCCATTTGTATCGGAAAAGTGTGCTTAATACTGAATTTCCACTAATAGAATAGTCTCTAACCAAATTATGTTTATGGCGCAAAGACAACTTTGTCATTTTTCATTTTTTGGCCATTAATATACTTTTAACAGATTTGTTACACCAAAAATTAGTCAGTATCCGTAATATTTGAAACGTTCTGAGATTATTCAACTTGGTAAATATATAAATCTTCATCTATAGCTTATAGAAGACAAACTTGTCTAATTTAACTTAGAAAATAGGTCAAAGTGACTGTATTTATATAACTGGTAGTAAACAATAAGCAAATGATTTGGCTGACAATATTACTGGTATACATATATACATGAGAAGTTGTCCAAATTTTCCCCAACACTTCCGAGCCCCTCAAAAAAAAAAAAAAAAAAAAAGAAAA